CGAGTTTTCAGTATGATTGAGTATTTCATTACTTCTCATTTCTTATGATAACTTGTGTGATAATAAATACATATAAATTCTTGAACAAATTTTAGGTTAAGTTAAAAAATAAATTCGGTTTATTTGAAGCGATTTTTCTTCGTTCGTAATCTCCTTTAAGTATGCTTGAGTAGATTGCCAAATATGTAGTCTTTTAGAATAGTTTGCCGAAAAGAGAGGCTTCTTGCATGTTAATGATATTCATTTATATTTGGCAGTAACTCCCAATTTATTTAACATATTTGAAGTCAAATAAATCTTTTGAACCTTAACTGAATAGAAATTGGTAAGATACTTAAAAGTCAAAGTAAAGTAAATAAAAAAGTTTTTTTTTTTATCAAAGATATATTTGCTAATAAAATTAAACAGAAAAAATCGAGAGAAAAAATGAAAAAAAATAAAGAAAATAGTGGTTTTACTTTCTAAAGTCACACAATAATTTCTGATTTCATTTTAAATGGTTATAGTTTCATTATAGTCTCCATTCAACATTTTAATTTTGATATTTAACACCGTGGCATAAATTTTTCTACCTCTTTAATATTTATGTAAAAGTATTAAAACTTGGGGAAAGTTGATTTCATCTACTTTTCTGCATATATGTATATATATATATATATATGATATTANTCATGTTTCTCGATGTTCTGGGTTATATTGCTAAAAATTTATAAATATTGTTGAGTGATGCAATTATTATTGCATACGTTATTGTAATATTGTAGGGACGTTAAGAAATAACCTTTGCAGTTTCCTTGTAACTAAATAACGCAATGATTTCTACTATTTGAGATTTTTGATTAGTACCAAGCAATACATTTTAATAAATGTGTAGTTATTTCATTTCAGAATTTTAAAGGCAGTTGTCATTAAGTAGGAAATTAATATCTCAGATTTTAACTACCTTAAAAGTAGAATTTTGTTTGGGAGGTTTTTTTTTTAACTCTTTCGGTGCCCGTGGTCATACGTTCTGCCCGTGGTCATACATTCGTGGTAAGTAAAAATCTCTTCAAGAGCACTGTATGGCAACATAAGCCGCAAAAGCATGTTTTATGGCATGCATAGAAAACTCAAGCGTGACTGACATTAAACTTTTAATTTGGATTGCGTCAACCATCTGTGACTGGAGAGGCATTTATCGTGTTTAAAAAACATTTCTAAACTATTCATTCTGTTTTGTTGTAATCTAAAACAATCTTCGGCTTAAGCTGTGGAGGCTCAGGGGATAGAGCCCTCGCCTCTCTGTGACGTGACCCAAATTCGGGTCATTGGAGTGAGGTGACCCGGGAATCCCAGCGATAGCTAGTCGATACCAATTTTGCCCTCTGCTCTCACCGAACACACTGTTGACGAAAAATATCCTCAGTGGTAGATGACTTATGGGCTAGAGTCCCTTTACCGTCATGCTAATCGTGGGAGTTCCTTATGGTTCTCCTCTCTAAGTAACGCAAAAACGGGTTAGTTCCACTAACAAAGTCCTCCACAAACGGAAACTTCTCCCAATACTTGACTCAAAAGTTCCCTTGTCTTCTGGATTGGGTTTAAAATTACAAGGATACGGTGTTGAACAATGGTAGTCATAAATCTGGGTCGTCTGTTAAACGACTATTATAAAATTAAAATAAAAATCCTCCGTTTAAAGCCAAGATGTCCCTCAGCTGATGAGATCTCTTTTTTCAGGGACACAGGTCTCCCGGCATGGCGAACACGTGGGTTTTCTTTTCCCATCAGGGTCCGATACAACGAGATGGTAATCGAACACAGACAAAAAGTCCTCCATAGTAAATTTGGCAACCACGACAAATGGTAAGAGAAAGGAGAAAGTATGAGTAAAGGGAGAGGAAAACGAAGGGAGGACGGATCACTAAGAAGACCAGCTCTCATAGGCCCCCATGTAAACCTGTTCCGGAGGTAACGGTTACCTCCATCGAGGTGTGGAAGTATTGCTAGGAAAACAACCTGCCTCCTTACAGAGGTTCTCTCCGTCCTTACCCCGTAAGCAACCCTATTCCTCTCCTCTCCCAACAAACACCTTTCTCCTTGTCTTTCCCCACTCATGTAAACAGCTAATGAAAGGTTACTTAAACGCCGTCTGCTTTTGTTCTTTACAGACTTATATGGTTTTGAAAAAGGTTTACTTATTAAACAAGGAAAATATTTACTTGTGACGAATTCATTAAAAAATAAACATAATTTATTAGTTTAACATAGGTGTATAATTTAAATAGATATCGGTCACTTAAAGATGTCACTTTAAGCAGTCACTTTAAAGATGGCGAAAAATTTGTTGTTAAACAAGTCTACTATGTTGTTAACCAACTATTTGTTGTTAAACAAGTCTACGCTATGATGGATGAAAGATGTGCGCATGCGTCGGCTCAAGAAAACTTTGGCGCTTTTCTTGTCTTACAGAGGGACCTTGCTGGCCCCTGCTTCGTATCGGAGAAGCTAGACTTCTTCTCACATTATACTCGGTACACTGGGGGCGTGACTCCCAGAGTTTACCTCACCCTCTGAGAGGGCTGTAGTACTCAGAGAACGTGTCATAGATGCTACTTACGTCCAACGATAGTACCCCGAGAACTTTTTTATAGAAGTGACCAATGGGCTGTAGTAGTACCCAGAGAACATTTCATGATTGCCGCCAATGGGGAGTGGTAGTAATCAGAGAACGTGTCGTGTCTCCCATTAAAGATCAAAGTAGTACCTAAAGGCTTAAATTTTAGTTTCCTTTAGATTTTTTCCTTGAAAAAGCAAATACTATTTTCGAAGGTGAAAATTTTTCCAATGCTTTTTCCTAAATAAACATAGACTTACCAAGTTATTACACAAAAAATAAAATAAATGCACAAACTAAAATAAAAAAAGACCATCTGTTTGTGCCACTAACAAGTTTCAAAACCGTATTTTGAAAAAAAAATAATAACTTGTTTATTAACAACTAAGCACAAGCCCTCAAAGAAAAAGTAAGTTAATATATGAGCAGTATTATGTTACTTCAAAAATAATCTGAAACAGAAAGGATAACTTATAACAATAACTTATAAGAATATATTAACATTCAGTGTGAAACTGTTAAAAGAACGAAATATCTTAATTATATTTAGAAAATTATTCCTCCAGACTTTTTTTTTGAAAAATAGAAAATAGATCACTATTTTTGGAACTGATAAATTTAATTGTTCAAAATGTTTAAAATTTTTTTAAAATGAAAGCAGAGTATAAAAAAAACTCTAATAAGCAATACTGAGTTTAATATGAAACAACCACGAAATTTTACTATTATTTTTATCCTTATTTCGAAGAGTAGTATTCGTTAAACACGTTCTCTAGAGACTCTAAGAGAAGTAAAAAAGTTAAAAAAAAATTAAATAAATGCTTAAAATACGTGGTATGTTTCGCATGCAAGAACTATTTCTCAAGGGGGTTGTTTGTTTTAGTTTTTTCTTTGAAACTCGATATATGCCACTGAACAATCATTTTTTGTTCGAATTCACACCTGCGTGAAATTTAAAACTGTATCATTTTATTTTCGTATCTTTTTATGCAGTGAATTTAATATTTTTTGAGCTATGTTTTTAACTGAGAGAAAAGTTTTTATTTTCAAAAAATAAATAAGAAATGTAAAATATATTTGGAAACTTCTAATTCAGTTTACAGAATAAAATGTTTGAATTCGAGGTAAATTTTAATTTTTAAGAATATATTTTTTTAAAGATAAATATGAGAAGTCACAAAACAAGTATTAAATATATTTTTTAAAAAAATTACTAGAAGTCGAATTAAGAAATTTAGAAATCTTTCAATCAGCGTATCAATGCATAATTATATCTTGCCAAAACGTTAAAATAACGTTTTTCGCATCTTAGTCTCTATTTATTTAGAATCAAAAATAGAAAAAGCATGAATAAAACTATCATTTTATAAATTTTAAACTGAAATTATACTAAATAAGTTCTATTTTGTGCAAATATTTTAGCTGCAGATGGATAGCAATTGTTTGAAATTACTACTGTTTGTAATTGATAGTCGGACATAAAACTATATCTTCCTCTATCGCAGTTCGGAAAAAAAAATCACAATTTATCTGAAAAACAGTCCCTAAAGTCATGTTGAAGCGTTCCTGAATGGAATTATAGAACTATGAATTTGACACTTTATACTAGAATAACATGTAACAAGAATAACAAATAGAAGATTGTTTTACAGGTTTTCTTAAATTTACTTTGTCTTTCAAATTTATCTTCCTCTTTCATAGTTCTGAAAAAGCAACAAATCAGAGTTAAACTGAAAAGCTGTCTTGTAGACAAATTGAAGTGTTCCTGAAGGGACTTATTAAACTATAAATTCGACATTGTATTCATGAATAGCATAAAGATAACATTGATTTCTTAAAGCTTTAATTATTCTTTAATTTTCATTTTACAGTTAATGTTTCTCCACACCATTTAGGGGTAAGCAAAACTCAGAATTAAATAAATATTAAGCAGTTTTTTAGGAACGTTCTTGAATTGAATCAGACTATCAATTGGACATTTTACGTACAAATAACCCAAAGATAGTGTGAAAAATATTATTTTTGCCGAAACTCGTGCTATCAAAGGAATTTAGCAGTGCTATTTATTTCAAATGTTAATGGATGTAAAATTTTGAATCTTTATTTGGAACTCCTAAAATTTCCTTTCAATATTCTAAAGCAAATCTTCAAATCAAATAATTACTTCACAACGAAGAGAATGTTTGAAATTGCTCTGAAAGAGCACTCTAAAATATATTTGCTGAGAATTCTGAGATATATTTCGTTGCTGAGAGAAAAACTTAAATGTTTTAAAAGAGATTGCTAAGATGCGTTAATTTATCAACTTTTAATATTATTTTTATGCTGTCCTATATGGTGTTAATATGCAGCTATAGTTAAAACATTAAAAATAAAGAAAAAAAGGAAAATAAGAAGAACTTACATCTACATAAATTCCTGGAGCTTCAAATGCCATATATTGTGGGTTGAGGGAAGGGAAGAACCTGTAAAATTCTTGATCGTTTTTGTACCACTTTACGGAATAGAGCTTTTCTCCTCCTAAATCGTAAAGACAAGTTAGGTAGGCAGAATCACCTGGGACCAGTAGATCCGGTACTTCGAAGCTACTAATCTTCAAGCACAGCACGCTGCTTAAAGGTAGTACTGCAAAAAAGAAATTGGGAAGAAAAATAAATTACAAACTTAAGCTACGAATTAGAGTTTCCTTTTTTTAAAATGAGAGTTAAGACTGACTGGTAATATATTTAAATTAATAATAATTGTAAGACTGCTATTTAAATCAATAATAATTGTAAGATATTATCGATTTTTCTGCCTTTATACCTAATGAAGCAAATGAAGTGTTTACATTATCAGTGCAACCTTGTGTTAATCAATTACAACTAAAGGAAGAGTTTATGTGCGTCTCTCTTTCATACTTCCATTTTATTCCTTAGTATCATCTGTGCTAAGTTCCTGAAATTCGTTTAACGAATGCAGGAGGAATTTTAGGCCCTGATCTAAAAAATCATTCAAAACTTTCAATTAGTCGATTCAAAAGGAACGTTTGAAAAATGAATTTTGCTCATTGGTTTAAAATAAGGCGTTCATTTTTCGGTAGATAAGGAGCATTAGAGTTAGGTTGTGATTAAGTTGTGTGTTTTCAAATAAACCATGGAATGTATTTCAATTAGTTTATCTGGTTGTTTTACCCAAGGAATATAAAGTTACCTATCGTAAGAGATGGGAAATACTAGACTTCTTTGTGATAAGCCTCTTTATGGTGCTGCCATCTATGCGTGAATGAGAGTATCGTATTTAAATAGTCCAGGGTTACAAATTAGGGAGTTACAGGACATTATAAAATCGTTATGTGTTGAAAGGAATTGAGGAAATATTGTGGTGTCGACGCTGAGGTTCGAACCCCCATTCTGTGGATCATGATATTGACAAACTTGCTCGCTCGGCTATAAAATGTAACTAGCTGCAAGGAACTAAGTATTATTATTTTTAGGTGGGCATAGTTTGTGCGATAAAATTTCGGTTTTTCAACCGTATTAAATGAAATTGGCTAATAAACGGTATTTCTCACAGTTAAAAGTTTGGGTGCACTATTAGTTATGGTTATTTCATTGCTTTGTTTGAATATGGGGAAATAACTATTAATTAAATAACAATTAAATAAATTGTTATTTGCCCATTTTTTCCTAGAAATTCCTTCCAGTATGGGGTAAGGCTTTCAGCTTAGTGCATGATTGCGTAGTGTTAATTATCACTGATTTATTAATCGTTTTATATTTATTTTACATCACATGAAGAACGGGAATTCATCAATTTATGTTAAATTACATAAAGTTTCTGATGTTAAAACATCAATCAAATTAGGAGTTTTGGCAACTCTTGACGGAAAATCCTATATATTGCTTTTAAATACGATTAATGTGCCACATCTTATTCATTTATCTTCTATAATACCTACAAACTCTATAATAATTGTAAACTATTTCTTTAATCTGCTTTTATGATTCGATTTACACATCATACTCACGTCAAACATTCATCGCGCCCCTTAGTTAACGTCATACTCCAGCTCTAAATTATTTGTCAAAAATTATTTTATACACGTAAATAATAAAATTCATATAAATAATAAAATTCGTATAAAAGAATATTATGTGGATATATATTCGAAACAGTCACTTGCTGAGAACATCTAAAATGTGCTGATTTTGCTCTAAGTTCTGAAATATGTCACTAGGAATTTTGTTTCCTTTGACCGCATTGAATTTATTTTGTCAGGCTGCTTTGAATTCTTATAAAGGAAATCTTTGAGATGGAAATGTAAAGTTATTTTATTGAAATGACAATACCTAGAGAATACTGCGTCTATTATACGATTATCTAGTACTTTTCATAAAAACATACTTATTATAAACCCAAATAAATAGCTTTAGAAAAATAACATTTCAAAATTTAGAACTTTACAAATTAATTAATTTAAACCTTTCTCGGGCTGATTTAAATGTTCACAGTGCCTTTCACTGCAATGTGCTTTAAGTAATTTCATTTAAATCATTGGTCATACATAATTTCTATAACAAATGTTGTTAGAAACAGTTTCAGGATTCATAATTTTATTTATATAAGTTTGTGCTAAATTTTTTTATGAACATTTGTCTTGAGTAATATTTTGACAAAACAAAATTATTAAAAAAAACATAACAGAAGCGATTTTAATTACACGCAATTAAAAAGGGTATTAATGAATTTACATATTATCAATATTTCTTTACAAAACATAATGTATAAGCTATCTTTCGTATGTTGACTACAAAAAAAAAATTAAAAAAAATGTTCTTAAAAAAAACAATTAGTTCTTAAAGGTCTATCGCTACCTTAACAAAAAAAAATTATAAAAAAATTATTGCTTAATTCTAAACATTAAACATTTCATAAAAATAATGTTAGCACTTAAATAAAATTAACACGATTTTTATGTGGTTTAAACTGGTTCTTAAATTTATAAAGCATTGATAGTAAATACAAATGGGGTTCTGTGATATGTAGATAAATGGTTAAAGTGATCATTAGGCCGAAGACATTCCGGTTGTTAACAGAATGAAAAAGCTCAGAGAATGAATCATCATTATATTCCTTATTTCTGCAAACACGTAATGGAAATTGACTATCGCTTTGGAAATGGCGAGTTAAAGAATGCTTTAACAAAATATCTGCAAAATAAGTATTCTTTGTTAGTGTTGAATAATTTCTCTTGCTTTCATTCTCAAATGTGTGGAATTTTTGTATGATACTGGAATTTCAATGACCAAGTTCAATTTTAAAATAATAACAAGTTAGATTGAAGGAAAAAGAATATTATCGTTGTAGAATTGGTAAAAGTCAAAATTTCTATTGTACGTTATCGTTCTGTTGAATGAGTTATACTGCAGTGATACTTTAAAGAAAATCCTCTCGCTTTTATAACGCAGCATTTTTAAAGTTAACAAAACAAATATAGTCTCATTAAGAAATGCAAAAACATATTAAATCAACAATAAGTCATCTCTATTTTGAGAAGAAGACAGATCCATTTTTTTTGTAACAATTTTGTGTCACTAACGGTCAGGCAGAATGAGGGATCATCGATCATCTAAAAACCTCCTGTCCTAACACCAAGAAATTCAAATTACCAGTAGTGAATAGTTGCTAACGGACACTTAGGACCACGAGGAAAGAATTTGGCTGGTTATTATTAGATAAATTTTGGCGAGTTATTGTCAGATAATAAAGCCAAAAATTAAGCCAACCTGCTTAATTAACATTAAATTTTAAATATCCTGGCAACAGATTAATCAGCAAATGGACCGTTAATATAAACCTGTAACTAAAATTTTGTGGTTACAGAGATAAAGTAGCTTAAGGAAAAAAAACTTACGTTAAAAGTAGATTTGATATTCGATTTAGTCGTGGCACTGAATTAATGAGTTGCACACTTATATTAAATTAAAAAATAGCTATTACATTGTTTGTTACGAAACGAATAAATATATTTATGCTTGCTTTTTATGAAATGTGATGAAAATTATAATTGATTTAATTTAATTATAACAGGATTAAGAATGACTAAAAAAAATTGAAATTGAAGAGATTATTTTGCTAAGAAATATGTAGTGCCCATATTGTCATCACAAATATTATATTTATCGGATCATTCGAATTATGAGAAAATATAGTACTTGATAAAGTACTTTCGAAATAAAATCACAGTTTTTAATTAACATTTCGCTCAACGTGAGAAACAGTTAATATTAGAATGCTTAAATTATGAGTAGTGACAGCAAAGTGACAATGTTTGGACGAATGGCGGCCAACAGACAGTTCTTTTATTTTCTATAATCATGGCCACAGCGCATGCGATCAAAATTGCTGTTGCCAAGCTTTAAATTTAGGCTTCTAATTTAATTTATATCAGCAAATCGCTTTTGGATAAGTTTAAATTAAATGTGTTTAAATGTTGATGCACCAAATTAGCTTCGAGAATAAGTAATCAATATAATATATTTATGTCACGTCAATCGATACTAAATCCTCAATAGCAATATAACTTATTAAACGTTTAATAAAGTTTGAAATTATATAATAAAAAAGACCACTAATTATTTCACAACCATTAATGAAACAAAATATACTTTAACAATAAAGAAATTATCAACCATGTAGCCTAAAGTGATAATTAAAAAAACTGAATTTGAAACTATTTTTAGAGTACAAACATTTTAGAGTGAGAGATGTGAATGACGTAAATGTTTGGCTCAAGAGCTATGTCTTGGATATAGCTCGCTTGAAACAAGATGAAAGTAAAAATAACTAGTTAAAGATTTGAAAAAAAAAAAAAAAAACTCGGTTAAAATTAAAACAAGTTGAACCAAAATTTTAGAAGTATTGTACGTTTTTATTGAGTTACAAATGGAATGAAGCATTGACTGAGAATCAAGTTTTCAAAATTTTGGAAATTTACATGCATTAACAGAATTTTTGTTTAATATCAAGATTAAAACTCAATATTCCAGATCGACATGAAGAGTTAAGAGATGATTTAAGCAAATGTTCTTTATAAACTTACTTATAAACTTACCTTATAAACTTAAACTTCTTTGTAAACTAAAAATTGCAATGGATTTTCGTAACACAAAATAGACTCCAAAGAGTAATGAAGTATTAAAATGCATGATCAAGTTATTAAAATTTGTATTCTTTACGATATAGGAAACTTGTATAAACTATTGCAAATTTATTTTAATGTAAGATAAAACATAGCATCTTAGGATCATACAAGAAAAAAGAGATAATTTTAAAAGCAAATTTAAATTTCTTATAAGTTCACTGTAAAAGGTAGCAGATTTTTAATGATGAAAAATATTTACCAACGAATAATTAAGCATTGAATTGTGCTTTCGAGTTTTTGAAACATGTACTTTAAGAATTAAGAAACTTGCACGAACTATCACAATTTTAGTCCTAAAGTACGATTAAAACTCAATATCTTAGCTAGATAAAAAGACATCAGAGATAATTTTAAAAACAAATTTAAATTTAAGTTTATTGAATCGTAAAGGATTTTAGCGACACAAAGCAATTTTCAAATAAACTTGCCGCAAGTAAAT